AACCTAATTTATTATCGAGCCATATTATTGGGAATAACAAAGTATCTCTCCATACTCAAAGTTTCATATCGGAAGCGAGTTTTCAAGAAACTGCTCGGGTTTTAGCAAAAGCAGCTCTCGGGGGGCGGATCGATTGGTTGAAAGGCTTGGAAAGAGAATGTTGTTTTGGGTGGGGTTATACCGGCCGGGACTGGATTCAGAGCATTAGTCCACCCCTCAAAACAATATAATAACAGTTATTTCCAAAAACAAAAAAACAATCTATTTAAGGCGGGGGTTCGAGATATTTTGTCTCCCCACAAAAAACTTTTTAAATAGTTCCTTTCAAAAAAACTCCGCAAGATATCACATAATTGATAGGATTTAGAAAGATTCCTAATAGCAAATTAATATCTTGTACGCTTTTTCAATCTCGCCGGTTTATTTAGCAATAGAAAAATAGAAAATAAGAATTATTGGGGCGTATATATTCTATATATATCGGCAATTTTAGTATTTTAGTATAATTTAGTATAGATGACTATAGAGGATAAGGTTCCGTTGGAACAAGTTTTTAATTCAATTCAAAATTCCTCGTTAATTTTTTTCTTCAACAGAATCTAAAATGGGGGGATCTATTTAAATGACAAAAAGATATTGGAACATCAATTTAGAAGAAATGATGCAGGCTGGAGTTCATTTGGGTCATGGTACTAGGAAATGGAATCCTAAAATGGCACCTTTTATTTTTACAAAGCGTAAAGATATTCATATTATAAATCTGATCGTAACTGCTCGTTTTTTATCGGAAGCTTGTGATTTGGTTTTTGATGCAGCAAATAGAGGAAAAAAATTTTTTAATTGTGGGTACTAACAATAAAGCAGCTAATTTAGTAGCCCGAGCTTCCATAAAGGCCCGATGTCATTATGTAATAAAAAATGGCTTGCCGGTATGTTAACGAATTGGTCCACCACAGAAACAAGACTTCAGAAGTTTAGGGACTTGAGAATGGAACAAAAAAAAGGGGGGTTCCATCATCTTCCAAAAAGAGATGCAACTGTGCATCAAAAGACAATTAGCTCGTTTCCAAAAATATCTGGGTGGGAATTCAATATATGACAGGCTTACCCGATATTGTAATCATTATTGATCAGCACAAAGAATATATAGCCTTGCGAGAATGTATAACTTTAGGAATTCCAACAATTTGTTTAATCGATACTAATTGCGACCCCAATCTATCAGACATTTCAATTCCAGCAAATGATGACGCCTATCTCTTCAATTCGATTGATTCTTAACAAATTAATATTTGCAATTTGTGAGGGCCGTTTTTAGCTATATAAAAAATTCTTGATAAAGAAATTAAAAATAACTAATAAAAAACCTTACTTCAAAAATAACATAGATTCCTTTCATAAGTTAGATTTTTTGATTTGTTTCTATTATTCTATTAAAAAGGACAAGATCCAATTCAATTAGACAAATAGATTTTGGCATTAAAATAATTAAGGGGGTAATATGAATCTTTTTTTTTTTTCTAGCAATTACCCCATGGGGTTATACGAGATATCTGGTGTAGAAGTGGGTCAACATTTATATTGGCAAATAGGGAATTTCCAAGTACACGGCCAAGTACTTATCACTTCTTGGGTTGTAATTGGTATCTTAGTTGGTTCTGCTACTCTAGCTGTTCGCAACCCACAAATCATTCCTAATGGGGGTCAGAATTTATTTGAATATGTTCTTGAATTCATTCGAGATGTGAGTAAAACTCAAATTGGAGAAGAGTATGGCCCTTGGGTTCTTTTATTGGTACGATGTTTTTATTTATTTTTGTTTCTAATTGGTCCGGGGCTCTTTTACCTTGGAAACTACTTAGATTACCTCATGGGGAGTTAGCCGCACCCACGAATGATATAAATACTACTGTGGCTTTGGCTTTAAATTACGTCAGCGGCATACTTCTATGCGGGTATTTCAAAAAAAGGATTAGGTTATTTCGCTAAATATATAAAACCGACTCGATCCTTTTACCGATTAACATCTTAGAAGATTTTACAAAGCCTTTATCACTTAGTTTTAGGCTTTTCGGTAATATTTTAGCTGATGAATTAGTAGTTGTTGTTCTTGTTTCTTTAGTCCCTTCAGCAATTCCGATACCCGTCATGCTTCTTGGATTATTTACAAGTGGTATTCAAGCTCTTATTTTTGCAACCCTAGCCGCGGCGTATATAGGTGAATCCATAGGGGATCATCATTAATATTAATTACTTTGAAAATGGATAAAATGAACTAATGGCTAATGAGGGCCTAATTGATTCATTATATCATTACGATTTCTTTTTTTGTTACGTTTTGTTACGAGGAATTACTAATGAATCCACTTATTTCTGCCGCTTCCGTTATTGCTGCTGGCTTGGCCGTAGGACTTGCTTCTATTGGACCCGGAATTGGTCAAGGGACCGCCGCGGGTCAAGCTGTAGAGGGGATCGCGAGACAGCCTGAGGCGGAGGGAAAAATCCGGGGCACTCTATTGCTTAGTCTAGCTTTTATGGAAGCTTTAACAATTTATGGATTGGTTGTTGCATTAGCACTTTTATTTGCGAATCCTTTTGTTTAATTTAGAATGGTAAGACTAATAAAGAGACTCTTGAGGCTTTTTTTTTTTCAAATTCTATTAAAAATGCCTCTTGGTATTACTTTATTGTTGAGAAAAAAACCTTATGATACACACGAAATAATAATACTTATTCTATTTAATTGCTTTCATCCTTTTCACTCGTAGTTTACTCGTAGTTTAAGGTTACTTTTTTTAGTGAGGCTTAGTAGATCCGCAAAAATACACTAAAATAGAATGTGTATTTAATCTTATTTAATATTTAATTAAGAAGTTCTAAAGATTTATTTATTATTTATTTCATAAATTGAATAAAATAGAAATAAAAAACAAAGTGAAGTAAAGAGTGTTGTTTTATTTTAGTCTATACTATAAAAGAGGAGAATTTATGAAAAGCGTAACCGATTCTTTCCTTTCTTTGGGCCACTGGTCATCTGTTGGGAGTTTCGGGTGGAATAACCGATATTTTAGCAACAAATCTAATAAATCTAAGTGTAGTTCTTGGAGTATTGGTCTTTTTTGGAAAGGGAGTGTGTGCGAGTTGTTTATTTCAGGAATAGGCTGGACTAACCAGCTGTACTCTTACTCTTTATTTTTATGAAAACTCGGAGAAAGAGGTGCATTATCTCGCGAATTACTTCTGAATAAATAAATTCTCTGTAAGAACCATAGCATTTCGTCATTTACTGGTAAATCAACTTTGATTCTCTCTCACCCAAGACTATGATACTATGAACATGGTTAAAAAAATCATTTGAAGTCAAGGCACTATATGGTACTCTTTCTATCACTATGTTCATTATAGAGATATTTTCAAAAATAATATTTGATCAATAGAGGATGCTCATATTGATTAAACTAAAGGAACCCCTTAATCTTTATTTTTTAATTTTTCACAAAGAAGGGAAATTTCCCTGTTTATCCAAATCCAATGCTAAATTGACGGCCTGTGTTTATAAATAAGTAATAAAATCTTTTGAAAAAAAAAATAACTTTGCTGACAATTACCGATTTTTTGGTTGTTTTGTTAGAAGAGTCCTCATCTGTTTGGAATATTAACAAAGATAAAGAAGAAGGAAGAGAGGATAAGCTCAATGGAGTAATAAAGAACCAAAAAAACATATCATAATTCTTATGAAGTTTGATTTGAAGGAATTGAGCTTGAGAGCCAAATGAATTGAAAGATTCATGTTTGGTTCGGGAAGGGGGTTTTTCTGTTTTGAAATCAAAGCAAAAAAAAATCTACTTTCATTAAGTGATTTATTAGATAACCGAAAAAATAGGATCTTAAATACTATTCAGAATTCAGAAGAACTGCGTGGGAGGTCTATTGAAAAACTAGAAAAAGCCCAAGCTCATTTATCTAAAGTAGAAAGGCAAGCCGAGGAGTTTCGACTGAATGGATACTCTGAAATAAAACGAGAAAATTTGAATTTGCTTAATTCAACTTCTAATATTTTAGAACAATTTGAAAATGATAAAAATGAAACTATTCTATTTGACAGGAAAGAGCTATTCATCAAGTAAAACAACAGGTTTTCCAACAAGCCTTACAAAGAGCTCTAGAAACTCTGACTTGTTGTTTGAACACCGAGTTGCATTTACGTACTATTAGTACCAATATCCGCATGTTGAGCACACTTCAAGAAATAAAAGATTAGTCTTTAATTTTCTAGCGGAGGTATTATTTTTTTTTATAAGAATAATTTAAGAACGAATCATGGGAACGATCCAAGCCGATGAAATTAGGAATATTATTCGTGAGCGTATTGAAAAATATAATAGAGAGATAAAGATTGTCAATACTGGTACCGTCCTTCAAGTAGGCGATGGCATTATTCGTATTCATGGTCTTGGTGAAGTAATGCAGGGGAATTAGTAGAATTTGAAGAGGGTACAATTGGCATTGCTCTCAATTTGGAATCCACCAATGTTGGTGTTGTATTAATGGGTGACGGATTGATGATACAAGAAGGAAGTTTCTGTAAAATCAACAGGAAGAATTGCTCAGATACCAGTGGGTGAAGCCTATTTGGGTCGTGTTATAAATGCCCTGTCAAATCCTATTGATGGGAGGGGCGAAATTTCATCTTCTGGATTTAGATTAATTGAATCCCCCGCTCCAGGGATTATTTCGCGTCGTTCCATATATGAGCCTCTTCAAACTGGACTCATTGCTATCGATTCAATGATCCCTATAGGCGTGGTCAGCGAGAATTAATTATTGGAGACAGACAAACTGGTAAAACAGCAGTAGCTACGGATACGATTCTAAATCAACAGGGTCAAAATGTAATATGTGTTTATGTAGCTATTGGTCAAAAAGCATCTTCTGTGGGCTCAGGTAGTAACTACCTTACAAGAAAAGGGAGCCATGGAATATACTATTGTGGTAGCCGAAATGGCGGATTCCCCTGCTACACTTCAATACCTCGCTCCTTATACAGGAGCAGCTATAGCTGAATATTTTATGTATCGTGAAAAACACACTTTAATCATTTATGATGATCTCTCCAAACAAGCCCAAGCTTATCGCCAAATGTCTCTTCTATTACGTAGACCACCTGGTCGCGAAGCTTACCCAGGAGATGTCTTTTATTTGCACTCACGTCTTTTAGAAAGAGCCGCTAAATTAAGTTCTAAGTTAGGGGAGGGCAGTATGACTGCTTTACCTATAGTAGAAACGCAATCGGGAGATGTTTCTGCTTATATCCCTACTAATGTAATTTCTATTACTGATGGACAAATATTCTTATCCGCCGATCTATTTAATGCTGGAATAAGACCTGCTATTAATGTGGGTATCTCTGTTTCCCGAGTGGGGTCTGCAGCTCAAATTAAAGCCATGAAAAAGGTAGCTGGTAAATTAAAATTAGAACTCGCCCAATTCGCTGAATTAGAAGCCTTTGCCCAATTTGCTTTCTGATCTTGATCGAGCTAGTCAAAATCAATTAGCAAGAGGTCAACGATTGCGCGAATTGCTTAAACAATCCCAATCCGCTCCTCTGACGGCGGCAGAGCAAATTATTACTATTTATGCTGGAATAAATGGGTATCTTGATTCATTAGAACTTGGACAGATCAGCAAATTTCTTATTGAGTTATATACTTACTTCAAAACTAATAAACCTCAGTTCCAAGAAATCATATCGTCTACCAATACATTTACCGATGAAGCAGAAGCCCTTTTGAAAAAAGCTATTCCGGACCAAAAGGATCGGTTTCTACTTCAAGAAAAACTTTAAATAAGTACTTCAATCAAAAAATTCAAACACAATAGAAAGATATGGAAAAATTGCGCCCAATAGGATTTGAACCTATACCAAAGGTTTAGAAGACCTATGTCCTATCCATTAGACAATGGACGCTTTGGTGCTTCTTTTTTGCGTCTTACCCCTCAAAATTATTTGTAACAATAAATAATTAGATCGGATTCTCGGATTCTAGGTGATCTTTTTTTATTGTCTATTCCTATTCCCCTTTAAAAATATTCTCATTAATGAGCATCTCCAAATAAATCTTTCAAATAATAATCAAATAATAATTTTTTTATTCCATTTTTATTCAATATGAAATTCAAAATGATTTTCTACTTCCTTAGAAAACAACGCCCGGTTGAGTAAGGACCGGGCCGTGCGAACAAGAATAGCCTTTTCAACATTTAAATAATTGAGTAAAAAATCAAAACAAAACATCTTATAACTCTTAATTTAGATTTTTATAAAATAATATAATAAAAATATTTAAATAATAGATTGAAAAGCATAATCAAAATAAAAAAAATTACTTAGTTCTATGTTTATTATAAAATAAGAATTCTCTAAATAAAATTTGGAGAGATGGCTGAGTGGACGAAAGCGTCGGATTGCTAATCCGGTGTACGAGTTTTTCGTACCGAGGGTTCGAATCCCTCTCTTTCCATTTTTGTGGATCGTATTATTTCTTTTTTTTTTTTTTTTTATTTGCAAATTCGTTTTATTTTATTCTTCACGTCCAGGATTACGCCTTGGATCATTAGATAGGAACCCAAAGATAAATAGAGAAACAAAAAAGATGACTACTGTGTATACGAAGAGTTTGAGAGTAAGCATTACAAACCTCCAATATTTTTTATTGAAAAAAAAAATAAATAGAATATATTTTCTATTTTGAGACCACATAGGTACTATAAGGTACCAAGAAAGAAAGTTGAAATAGAGTTAATTTTCTAAAGAAAAAAATTTCATAAATCAAATTGAAATAAGAGTTTACCAAATTAAATATGGGGAATGGTCCTAATCCTAGTAGAGTCTTTTACTATAAAAAAAAGCTTTAAAAAGCAAGGAAGTTCTTATTCTTATTTTACTCAATTTGTTTAATTAAGTATTTCATCGAAAACTAACAACAGCCTGCCAAACAAAAGCTAAAAGAAAAAAAAGAACAGGTATTATTGGCATAAAATCGACGATTGGATTCAAAAAGCATAAGATTCGGGCAATTTGCCGAATAAAAAACTACTTGAATAGAAGACAGAATTAAGACAGATAAAACTAAGCATAAAAGACATGTTTTTTTTGATAATGAATTATTAAGATATGATTTTTATAAAATTAATATAAAAACATTATATTGAATTCGTAGGGCGGGGCGCAAAATATTGATTCCTCTTTTTAATTGAACCCTTCACAATGACTAGAAATATTTCAATATTTATAATACACTATAATAGAATATAGACAATATAATAATATACAAAAGAAATAAATTAACACATAAAAAAAACCAGAACCATAGAATCAAATTGATATCCATTTTAAATTCAATAGACAAAAATAAAATGGTTATTTAATTTTTGAAGTGTTGAAGTGGGGCGTGGCCAAGTGGTAAGGCAACGGGTTTTGGTCCCGGAATTCGGAGGTTCGAATCCTTCCGTCCCAAATCTTTTTGATCTTATTATTTCTATCGAATAGAAATAGTCTATTGAGATAGAAATAATAGAGAGAAAATAATCTATCTACCTAAATAAAATATATAGAAAACCTAAAAGGATAGTATGTTTAGAGACAACTCAAACCAATACTAGAACCTATGACTATTAAAGATTCCCTGATTTAATCAAGTACATATTGGTTCCAAATTCTAAGAAAGAATATTATGGTCCAACGTGGTTTGCAACGATGTGGTATAAATCAACATGTCACTTTAAAGATGAAAACCAAGATCCGTTATCTTGTTACATCCACCATTTTTTTTTATAAATAAAATAATAGGTTATTGGCTTTATAGCAGTGAATTTGTTCCATATGATCTAAATAATGCTATTTTGTAATAGAAAGAGATTTTGATGTATATAGTTTATATAGTTATAGTTATGGTTTTTTTGTATAAAAAAAGGAGGAACTTAAAATAGATTTACAACTAGAGAGATCGAAAGAACAGAATTTCCTTTATCCACTTTTATTTCAGGAGTATAATTTATGTCCTTGTTCATGATCGTGCTTTAAGTGGTTTAAAAGGGTCAATTTCTGCTGAAAATATAGTATATAAAAAAAAATTTAGTTTTCAAATTGTGAAACGCTTAATTACTCAAATGTATCAACAGATACAGCTCACTAATTGTTATTATAAAAAAAGTCAAATTTTTAGAACCAGCAAGTTGTTCTATTGTAACCAGTTAGCTGAGGTTTTTGCTTTTATTTTGGAAATTCCGTCTTATTTAAGATTCATATCAGAGCGCAAAAAAAAAAAACTCTTAAAATCTAATAATTTACGTTTACGGTCAATTCATTCCATATTTCCATTTTTTGAAGACAATTTATCACATTTAAATTTGGTATTAGATCTACTAATTCCCTCCCCCCCTCATCTGGAAATCGTGGTTCAAATAATTCGGTATTGGGTCAAAGAGGCTTCTTCTTTACATTTATTACGCTTCTTTCTATATGAGTTTTACAATTTTCAAAATTTGAATACTCCCAATAGGTCCCATTACATTTTGACAAAAAGACCTGAGCGGCTTTTCTTCTTTTTATATAACTCTTATTTATATGAATATGAATCCGTTTTTGTCTTTCTCCGCAACCAGTCTCTTCATTTAAAAGCAATCAGTTTTCGAGCACTTTTGGAAAGGAATCTTTTCTATGGAAAAATCGAATGCCTTTTAGAAGTATTTAATGAGGATTTTTCTGCAAGTATCCGTTTGTTAAAGGCTCCGGATCTTTCAATGCATTATGGTAGGTATAGGGGAAAGTCAATTATGGCATCAAAAGAAACGTTTCTTTTGATATCAAAATGGAACTATTATATTGTAAAATTTTGGGAATCTTATTTTTCTCTTTGGTTCCATACTGGAAGAATAAATAGAAATCAATTATCCATCCATTCTTTTTCATTTATGGATTATCTTTCAAGTATTGTAGTAATCCCTTCAATAATACGAAGTCAAATGTTAAAGAATTCATTTTTAATAAAAAATGCTATTCATCAATTTGATACTGTTGTTCCAATTATTCCTATCCTTAGATCCCTAGCTAAAGCTAAATTTTGTAATGTACTTGGGAATCCCATTAGTAAAACCGGGTTGGACCGACTTCTCAGATTCTGAGATTATTAAAAGGTTTGGGCGGATATGTCGAAATTTTATTCATTATTATAGTGGTTCTTCCAAAAAAACCAGTTTGTATCAAATAAAGTATATACTTAGGCTTTCTTGTGCTCGAACTCTAGCTCGGAAACACAAAAGTACTGTACGCGATTTTTTAAAAAGCTTGGGCTCGGAATTTTTAGAAGAATTTTTTACATCGGAAGAACAAATTTTTAATTTCACGTTTTCAAAGGCTTCTTCAAATTTGAGGCGAGTTTATAAAAGGCGGATTTGGTATTTTGATATTGTTTGTATCGAAGAGCATATTAATTTTTAAAAATTCATGCATCTTGTCAAATTCAAATTTTTACCAAATTATAAAATTATTAATAGAGGCAAAAAGTTTTATTTTTCCATTTGATCGTAAATCTTTCTTAAAAAGTCTAATTAAAGGGTAAGCTTAGTTTTAACTTTTTTAAAATTGACTACAGATAATTTATATATAATTTATATATATATATAGGAACGCTTATTCACAAAAATATTAAAAAAAAAATATATTCTTTACTCGAACTAACAAGTTCCAGATTGTAATTATGAGTACCAAATCGTCATACTTAAATTAAATGGAGAAAATTTGCTTGACTTAAAAAAAGGGGGCGGAATCAAATTAGATAGCTCTATTGGTTGACACGAATATCTAAGTCGTGTTATACTGTTGAATAACAAGCCTTTAATTTATTCTATTTTTTTTTATTTCGTGTGCTTGGGAGTCCCTGATTATAAAATCAACCAAGAATTGATCATGACTGCAGTTTTAGAGAGACGCGAAACCCAAAGCTTATGGGGTCGTTTC